ACTGCTCGCACATTACGCGTATTTCATCAAGCAAGCACCACCTGGATGAACGACGCACGCGGTTCCTTGTTTATTTGGGTAGTGATGGCCGCAGCAGCATTTGCATTGGTTATCTCTCCTTCAAGCAAACCATTACGTCTGATCCACGTGGAAATTAGTTGTAATTTTAGTACTCGATGCAATGCGCGTGTGGAATCGCTGCTATCAGCCGGCGGAACCCCTTCCTTTCTGATTCTTGAATATCAGGCTTCTGTAGACATTGTTGCAACGCTTCGTTGTACACCTCCCAGTGGCATCCGACTAACGGGTGTTTGGCAACCGTACAGATTTGGTCGTAATCCATGCAACATGTAGCTTCGCCTTTCCATGGACTACAACATTCCATATTTTTCTTATTATTATACTTAGTTTACATACATTCTGCAAATAAACAATTTTATACAGGAGCTTGACCCATAATCTGTGCAGATTTTTTACACCAGTTTTTTCTTAATAACAGGCACGCGCTTAATGAGCATTAATGACGAAATGATGTCAGTGCATCCATTTGGAAATTTTTTTAATTTAATAGAATAATGATCGGAGAAGTGCTGACTGCGACTAAATTGGGACGAAATGCGCTTTGAAAAAATGAGCAAAGACATATTACCGCTTGTTCATTCCCTCCAGTGGAAACCCAAACATGGAAACCACTGCTCCAGAAAAAAAAATGAAAGGAACTTTCGCAACAGCTGAAATGCCAGTCCTGCTTACTCTTTCATGACTATACCATCATCCTGTCCTTATTTTCATAAAGTTAATGTGAGGGTTGGTCTTTATTTACGTGCCATCGGCCAAGAGTACTTCATGTTTCAAAGGCAGAGTCAGTGGCGGCAGCTATGTACCAAGTATGGTGTTTAATCAGCTGTTTTTCTCACAAAGTGTTACTTATTTATCAACTTAGGAAGGAAGGAAGGTGAGTAATCTCGTCCGGCACTCGAGTGCAAGACCCTTAGATTCTGAGTCTGATATTCGACCGACTGGGCACCCTGGTTTAGGTCGATTGCAAACACCTCGTTCAAAAAATGTCGTTGTCAAGGCAAAGGTCGTTCCGCCACCGAAATCGGTTTCAGCACCTCCGGAAAGCAATTCGAAGAAAGCCCCTTAGGCACTGTGCCACTACGCAGTTGTACAGGACAGCGCCAACACGAAAATATACCCTTAAGGCATACTTGTGACCGCTTGGAAAATTTCCATTGTGAACGTAATTTAAAGCGTCTAAAATCCTACCTCTTCGCACGAGTCATGCGGACATCATTAATGTAAACTGTAGAACGTAAACGTCTCTAAAGTCATTAGCAGTCGTAAATACTTTGGTAACCACTTACGGATTGCTTGAAACTTATTCA